TCTTTTCTTTTCTTTTTCAAATTTCTGCCTACTCACTCCAATGATCAAACTTCAGACTCCAAGTCTCTAATTAGAAAGTTTAAACTTTTAATAACTTATCCACTATAAAGATAAGGATTTTTTAAATTTGTATTCTTAAAAGTATACTAATTGTATTTTTAAAAAATAAATTTTTATAAAAAAATATAAAAACAAATATTATATAAATGATTTTAACTAAATAATGATTGTTTTAAAATTAATTATTATTTTAAATAAATTAATTATTAAAGATAATTATTACACCTTTAATGTCTATCTTTAACATGTAAGATAAAAAAAAACCCTAAAAAATAACTCTCTTTCTTTTCCCATATCTTCCACAGAGGGTATTGTGATTCTAAGAACTTTTACTATTTTTTTATGATTAAAATAGTAGTGAAGGATGAAATATGATAATAATTGAATGGGGCCCAAATAGAAAAGACTAGAATGATGGATTAATTTAAGAAGCTGGTTTTGGTGATGATGATCAACGTTGGTAAAGCCACAGTATATCCTCTTCATACACATTCCTTCCTCATGATGGTCTAGCAATACACTACACATCAAATACATTAAAAAAAAACAAATCTATACACCAACGCTTTGATACCATTTCGGGAATTGCATTTGAATGAGCAAAGATTATCTCCCCTCTTGATAGGACACAGTAAATTATCACTGTCAAAAGCAAAAACTCTTTTATTACTTCAATAAAGTATTGAAGAATCTTGAGGATGGCTTCTCTAAGCCTCTAGCATTATGTTAGCCATGTTAGTGAAGGGTATTTAACTCAGGACTTGAGAGTGTAAACCACAAACTATTCTTTGAGATAATAAATGACTACTAAACCATGACACATGAATTGCGCATTAAAATGAAATTAGTTAAACATTATTATTTTTTTATTATTTTAATATACAAGGTAAGTAATTGAAGTCTAAGTGGAGAAAGGAAGGGAGAGCACGGTTCAAATGTTTAAAGCTTGTTTGATTTGAATGGAGGAAGAGGTTAAGATGAGTGGAGTTTGGTATTTTTTGGTCAAATAAGCCTTTACCATTTGAATGTATTAAATTTATGTTAGTGATAAAATTACTTGCCTTTTTTTATCCCAAAAATAAAGAGGATAAAATTACTTTAAGTACTAACACCAAACAAAAAGAAAAAGAAAATCATATATTTGAAAATGATGCATGGTGTTAGCCCCCAAGCATCCATAAATTACTCCAAGATAATGCTATATCATTTATTGATAATGACAATGTGAAAACAACATGAAGGCGCATGCACGCATCACTCAGAATTGAGAACCTCAATGAAATATCACTAAAACCACCTTGTGAAAGTTTCCTCCTTTGGAACATCTAGAGATAGACAAAAATACTGTGATTTTGACTTCATACTTGACATGATGATGATGAAGATGATGATGATGATGATGATAATATAGTTGTAATGACGAAATAAACACATCATGGGGGATCATGTACTTTCTGTTTGCAATAAGGCGGCCAGCTATTTTGCAAGGACTTGGGGCAGAGATTATTATTGATGCTGACATTTTACCATCATCAGAGATTAAATGCTATTTTAGACAATGAGGGAAGTTCCAATGTGGTCCTGCACAACATGTTGGCTAAAACATGGGCAAAAACACACCTAACAAAACAGTCAACCCCAGGAAAATCTTAAATACCAATAAACTACCTAGACAATTTCATTAACCACAAAAACCGACATCCATAATACTGTTTCTTAAACCCTCTCCTGTTTTTTAAAACAAGGGTTTGAGGGTTTTTGGATTTGGGGAATTGGGGTTGGGGAGGTTTTTGAAGCAGGAAAACATTGAAAACAAAACAGTTAAAAAGGACATGTAGGGCCTGTCCATTATGATTTCAGGTTGTGACAAAACACAAATGGGGGTTAATGGGGGCACCGAGGCGCAGAAAACACAGAAATCAGAATCAAAATATTAAAATGAGAATGAGGTTAAAAGAGTGAAAGTGAAATGAGTGTGGTACCCAGAAACTAATTGATATTAAATTTGTCAGAACCCATGTGACCTTGTGGCCCTTACCCATTCATGTCCACCTAAAAGAAACCACAAAATGAGACAAAAGAGTCCCCTAAAGTCACCTTTAGTCACATGAAAGAACAACCTTTTCTTTTCCCCTTTTTCTTTTATTTTTCCCCTAACACTTTTTCCTCCTCTTCAGCTGCCCTTCTTCAAAATCTAATACTTATATTATGACAGATATATCAATATGATAACAAGAACAATAAGAACTATAAAGTGACTGAGATAACAGCTTTTAACACCCCCCCCCCCCCCCCCAACCAATTTCAGCCATTGGTGTGCATTTCCCTTTTTAAGTTTGTGCATCAGCATAGTGGTTATACCCCTGCTACCCTGCCTTTTAAACTTCTTAGATCTACTGTACATAGTGACATGGACATAATATTCTTCATACAACTTTCATTTGTTTATAGTTCTTCTTTCACCTCACCAGAAAGGAGGATTAAAGAGTTTTAAAAAAGGGGGAATTACATTATATATATGATAAAAAGAGTTACTACTTACTACTGGCCTTTGTTTGTTGCTGTTGCTGTGTGGTCCAGCACAACTTTACCTACAGGGAGGGTACACAGAAGGAAAGAGAAAAAGACCCCACTCCCATAAATTAGTTCATCTTTCCTTTACCTATGCATATTATGTATTCATTGTAAGTAGTATAGTATGGATTGATGATGGTGATCTTGCTCAGACCTTCTCTACAGATCTTTTTCTTTGTTGTGGGTATAGTTTTGGCTATACAGCTAGAGGGTATTTTTCTTCCTTAGTATATGCATCCCATATATTCTGCAAAGATTGAAAAACAAGATTACAAAAAGAACCACATTGGACCACCATATGTATTCCATGTGCTTGGAAAAAAATTGATGGTCTCTTACCCTAACAGAGTCGATCCCCCCTTTGCTGGCCATGTTCAACCTTGCAAACTACATGCCAATGGCTCCATGCCCAGAAGAAAACCTTTATAGCAAGTTAATCATGGTTAGCTTTCCCTTTTGTCCTAGGAATACAAGGAATATGTTTAATTGCTGTGGCATTAGAAATTGAATGTAGTGTTGATAAATACCTTGGCATGTGTAGAAAGCATGAATTAAGAGAAGCCAGTGAAGGGGTGTTGATAGAACTTGATGTAGTAGGACTTGAGATTTTCTCATCAGCCTCTACAGAACCAGTGGAGAATGTGTTAAGGTGGTCGCTCGAGGACTTTTTTGGTGAAGCAAAGAGGTTATCAGGGAGAATGTGCTCCAAGCTGTTCACACACAAAGAATCAGTCCTAAGAATAATGTCAATATAAAATGCAAAAAGATGGATTTCTCAAGTCTAGATGTAAAATCTTTTGTAGAGTAAATTAAATTGAATCTAAAACTTGAACATGGCGTTTGCTATTGCAGGCAACCTTTCTCGTAAAATCTGAAATCATGTGTTATACCTTTCTGGGAGATCACTTTCTTCAGTTTTGATTTTCTCCTCCTTACTATTAATATTACCATTGTCATTATCATTATTGCAAGATGGATTCACTCCCTCCTGCTGCTTATCAGCATCTGCAGCAGCAGTCTGGGAAAGGGTAGCAACTGGACCACCATTGTTCTCTGCAGAAAAAATAAATACGAAGTTGACAGCTAAGTTCAAAATCTTTGAAATTGCAAATGCAAACCCCCTGTCAATGCTAACCTTCTGTAATTGGTTCTTGATCAATGCCATCAACCTGGAAAATGAGTGGATGGTTATTTGGGGCACAGGAAACAGTTGGTGAGGGTATGGGAGACCCAGTGGATAGTCCATGGTGGAACTGATGATGCTGATGATTGTTGAAGTCAAGAAGCTTCAAGTTCAGTAGCCTTCTCCCCTGAAGCTCAATGGCTTGCTGCAAATCAACCTGCTCCTCTAATTTCCTCCTCAACAACACCTCTTGAGTATTGTTGTAAAACATTCTTGCTCCTAAGTTGGTATGTATTTAGTATGACATAACATTCACTAAATGGTACCATAATAGCCATAAAAGAAATAGTTTTGGTTCATCCTAGTCCGCTTACCAAGACTGAGATCAAATGCCTCTCTAGAATCAAGCCCGGATGGACTCGAACAGGCAGAATACTCTCCCCTCTCCATTTGCTGTTGCTGATGTTGTTGCTTCCTAGAATGACAAAGTTAGCAACTACATTTTCTCAACAAAGATTGAAGGATACACAAAGATCATAATGATGAAAAATGTTTTTACTTGTCTTGAACTTTTCCCTTCTCCTTGTAAGGCTTAACAAGCACACGCGAGTCGCAAACAAAATGAGGGTTTCCTTTAGCCAGAATGATCTTCACTGTCTCAGGATACACAAATGTAACAAACCCAAACATCCTCTTCTGTTGGTAAGGAATCCTAACATCTTGAACAGGTCCATAAATGCTACAAAGACACAAACTTTAATCAAAATTCCTCAATCAAATGAAATGTTCAAGACAATCCGGACTCAATTACCTGAAGTAATTTGACACATCTTCTTCTCTGAAGGTGCTGTCAGCTGGAAATGTCAAGTAAATCTGTCTGGAACCTGGGTTCACCGATCCTCCTAATCCCATTGCTGAAAAATCATTCCTTTCCAGGCGGCCGCGGCCGAACTTGTGAAGCTCATCACCCATCATCAATGCCGCAGCTGATCTGAAAACCCAAACCCATAAATATTTTCTCTCAAAGCTAACAACTTTACACTTCATAGTAGTGCAATGGCGAAGAATGTGTTTATTTATGTACCTTTGGACCTCATTTTGTTGTTGTAGAAGAGAATATAAGCATTTGTTGTATGGAAAAGAAGCTCCGGCTGCCATGAATTGAGAGGCAGAGGCTAGTTTTTGTTGTTGTTGTTGGACGGCTTTTGACCTAAGCAGCTCTTGGCACTGTTCGAACTCATTGAGATTGCTTGGTGAGCCAATGACGGAGGTAGCACCACCGTCCACACAATCACCGTGAAGAAACCGACAGCTAGTGCCATTCTTGCAAAACCCTCTTGCAAAGTACAGACAAGGTCGCCACCCCAACCCGGAATTTACATCTTCAGAACCAAAACACATTCCAGGAACAGAAAAACTCCGCCGGTGCAGAGGAGAATCGCCGAACCCAGTTGGGCTCATCGCTAAGTCAAGCCGGGGATCAAACAAGTCTTCAGCTTTGGACTCATTGAGAAAGGAAAGGTGGTCCTGTAACTGGTAATCGTCAACGAATTCATTTTCGTGATAATTATTTGCAATGGAGGGCAAAGATCCAGACCCATTTGCAATGTTGGTACCTCCATTGACAATACTGGCGTAAGAAAGGGATGAATTAGTGCTGGGACTGATGGAGTGGTGGCTAAACGGAGAAGAAGGGCTTGTGATGTCAAAACCGCCATTGTTGGGGGCGGTGAGTCTGGAAGAAAGAGGGATGGACAAAGGACTAGGTCTTGAGGAGAAAGGAGATGGGGACGAAGGAGTAGAGGGTGTTGGTGGGTTTGAGGAGGAGAGTAATCCCAGATGGGTTTTGGCTTTGACGATTGTAGCATGAATAAGAGCCTCTGGCCCAAAGGCTAAACGTATCATCTCCTTCTCTCCATGGTCTTGTATGAGCAAATACCCTATGATTTTTGAGGCATTTTCAGGGTCCAAGTTTTGGATCCTGGAGTACACCATTCTTGTAGCTTCATATGAATCCATGGAACCAAGACAAAAACACTTCTATAAACCTAAACAAAAGAAGAACTTCACTTATATGGAGAAAAATGAAGAGAAGGAGAAAGAGAAGAATGATGGGAAAAAGTGGACTTTGTTGAAAAAAGGTTATAATTTGGTGGTATTTTAGTACAATTATGGTGAGGTTATATAAACAAGCATGGAGCTGAAGCTTCTTTTGTGTTATCCATGGAGAAAATCAAAGAAAAAAGGTTCAGGATTTGGGTTTTTCTAAGGAGTAGAAGGGTGAAGGTGCTTTGCTGGTGGTGGAGTTACTAAATGATTTCTCTCTCATGTGTGTTCAAAACTTAGAACCACAACTTTTGGTGGCAGTGCAAAACCTGCAGGCAGAGGCCAGCATTGGGAGAGTAAACTCACTCTCACTTTTCTTCGTTGTTCTCTTTCTTCATCTTTAAATTGTTTTAAGGAGTTGTCTTTACAAAATTGGACAAAACAAGGAGAGTGGATTCATATCTGCTTCAAAAACTTGAAACGGAAATTGGGTTTATTCAAAACACCACAAGTACTCGCCCCTTTAATATCCCAACCCTCATTTGAAAATGGATGAAGTGGATAATGGACAATTTCTAGGTTTATATTTTTTATGTTTTCTTTAAATATTTGTTGCAATACTTAATGGAAGTAAGATTTACGTCTTATCAAGACCTTGTTCATAAAAAAAAAAAAAAAAAGGGTCTTATCAAAGACCTAAATTAACATGAATGATTCTAGAGGGAGACATGATGATATTCCATTAATGTGTATATACTAGTATAAAAAATGGTTTAAGTCTTATCAAGACTTCCACACATTATTTATGGAGAGAATTGTTGAATGGCTTCTTCTTTTGTGTTTTGGAGGAAATTTTTAATTAATAAAAATTCAACAAAATTTGTCCTATAACTTAACATGAATGCTTCTAGTAAAGATGTTTGATTTTGGTAGAAAAATTATGGTTGTATGTAATTAATGAATCTAACAATTTTATTTTGAAAAAAAAAAGTTTTAGTGACAATGAAAAGTGGTGAAATTTGTTTTAATTCTAACCAACCAAAGTACATAAATTTCTTAATTTGAAATCACACTTAAATTACTTTCCCAACAAACCTTTTAATTTAAAATCACACTTGAATTAATTTCCAAATAAATAGGTATGTGGACTATTATGTTTTTTTTTTTTTTTTTGAACAGGTTTACATTTGGGAGCAAGAGGATTCGAATTTCAGTCTACGGATTGGGGAATGCACTCTGCAACACGACTTATAGTTATCGGACTATAAGATCCAGGTGCATGTGGGGTATTAAGTTTGGGGAGAAAGATTTGAATAAACTTAAATAAAAAATTTTAAACATTGTTAGGTATACTTTTGAAAGATTCATATTCTTTTATAAGTCATTAAATTTTGTTAGAATCTTGAATATGACTGTTATTATTGTTATATAGTGATATCTTTTTCAACAAAAGATAAATATTTTTTTCTCTTGAATCATTTCATTAGGTTAAAATTTAAACAAGTACTAAATATTTTACATGAGTAAAAAATGGTATTATAACATTACAACATATAAAAAAAAAAAAGGAATTTAGTGATTGAAAATCTAAAATAGTATCTGATTTAATAAATGAAATGTCGTAAAAGATCAAAATATATTTTGATAAAAAGTTTAAATATCGTTATCGTTATATGCGTTGTGGAGGATTCATATTCACATTAAAACTGTTAAATTTCGTTAAAACCATTAAATATTAATATTGTTGTCTTTATATGCTGACATATTTTTCCAAAAGCTCAATATATTTTTATTTTTCTCTCAATTCATTTCATTTTATTGCAATTTAAACCAGCAAATCCTTTACAAATATGAAAAATGTTACCATGAAATTTTTTTTAAAGTGAATGTTGCTATAATTATTTGGGTAATTAAATAGTGTAAGCTGAATATTTATGTCTCCTTATTAATACTTTAATAATTTAATCAAAATAATACTATTAAGATGAAAAGTGAAACAATTAATTTAGACCACAAGAAGTATTATTAAACTAGGGTAGGTTAACATATTATTGTTATGTACCAAAAACTTATGCTGAGTAATTAATTTAGACAAAAGTGAGTGATTGTTGTAAAATGCAAATCACAAAAGTGAAAAAAATTTAGCATAAAACATTGTACATTTGTAAATCAAAGACAAGAGGGTAAAGAAGTGAAGAGACGCGCTAGAAGGTGGGGCGTGGAGGTGATGAGTTTCAGTTTCTAAATAGTGCACGTTCACTTGCCATCATATCCTGTCCAATGTCTATGTCCATGTCCTCTCTCTTTCTGATGTAATTTAAATTGGATTTTGTTTGCAGTGCTTCTGCTACCCTACTCCTCACCTTCATCAACAATTCAACAAGAGCCCGAAGTGCATTCATAATCCCATTAATTTCAAAAAATATATATATTTATTCTGTTTTAA